GGATCATCTGTTGCAAAACATCTCATGGCAACAAGACACACAGTTGACCCCAATTCGTCTTTCAAACCACTATTACGTAATCGACATGCAAAACTTTTAGCGATTAGTGAAGCACTGCTTATTCGATTACATCACCCGACCCTATGCGCACAGAAGTTTTTGATACAAGCGATCCACTTACCGTGGAGCTGACCTTCTACTTCTAAAAGGTGTTTTGTTATTCAAAGTGTAACTAAGTTTCACTATTTTCTTGGAATTTTCTGTCTCAAATTCAAACCAGAACAGAAAGAGAAATAAAATAGTCAAAATAGTTTATCTCGAACGACAATCACTGATTTTTTCACAGATGGCTACTACAGTGGTCAGGGTATGTGGTGTGATGCGGTCAGGACGGATTGGATTGGAGGAAAAGCTAGCGTCGATTTGATGTTATTGCATCACGCGTCGGAACTGCGGATCCCCGAACAGTTTCTGAGTCCGATGCACGATGGCCGGTTCCGGTTGACCATAACTGGGCGGGATGTTCAATTTGGCGTAGCCCAAAAGCCACAACAAACTGCTATTCTTATGAGCATTTCTAATGAACGCCTGCGGGAGTACAGAATTCGGTCCGGCCCAACTGTTCAAAGCAGCCAAATGGATGGGATAGGATACCTGAGCAGTACTTGGTTCCCACCTATTGGAGTTGTGAAATAAAGAAACGGGATTGATCAGAAACGACCATTTAGTTCTCACACTAGTGATCATGAAGTACAATGCACCTTAGTGTCACTCAACTGGAGTGGTGCGTGTTGCGTAAACTTGATACGGTCACTACAAGTTTATTAGCAAAATCGGTAGTCCATACAAACTTTAGATGAGTACACCAATGCTGAGTAGACGCAGATTGCAAATTTTCACGTGGTGAAGTCCAATTGGGAATGCTTGTTATGACGAATCTGACGCTGCCTACTTTCAACGACAGTAATGGATACCAATTAATGATGACATGTTCAAGTAAAGTGAAGTCAAATCAAGAAAACTTTATGCCTTTGTAGGGGTGAATTTTCATCGATTTTCACAAGGATGCAGTGGAAACATTAAAAAGAAATGAAACACAGAGGAGTGTGGAGAATTAAACGAAACGAAACAATTGAACACTGGGAGCAATAGGGCAATGATAATCGTCGAAACAACAACTACGTCAAGGGATTTTTCACCATATCCGCTATCGTTTGTCTTTACAAGCGGGATACAGGAGGAATTTGCGTCTGTCTTTGGTAGAGCGTGCAGGAAGAAGCTTATCATGGGATTCGGGATGAACACTGGACACGGATTGAAGAAATTGATTGTGCAATCAATGATCTTCATTATTCAAGATTCAATTAATAATAATTCTCTTATGTGCATCGATATACCTGGACACAATAAAAAAACCTAACAGGAAGTCTATGACTATACCGATACACCGGGAAAGATGTTCAGTGGACCTGTAAGGTATTAAAGAATATTTTCTCTCAAGCTCCCTTGGAGAAAAGTGTTGCGGGTTTATTGCGGTCCATGCGACAGGATGCATGTGCTCGCAAAGTTTGAAAGCTATTAAGATCACCTAACCATCGAGGTGTAGCGGGACGGGCGAGGTAATGGCTTTCACTCGAAACTGATTCGATGTATTTGCACTGCTGGTTTCTAGTAATGATCCAAATGAAACAGCTGTACAGTGTTCGTCCAAGATTTTAAATAAAACAACGATGAGAAATAATTGAACTTTCGATAGCATTGAACGATTTCAAAAGAGCCGGGCTTCACAGATTCGCGCTTGTTGCACACGTGTGTTGTGACCCGTGAGTGCTAAAGTTCCAGAACACACACACCTGTGTTTGTATTTAGTACACTTTCTTTCGACATTTGAGATGTTCCTATATTATTGATTTTTCTTGATGAGATTTCTCAACGAAGTTAAACAAGAATAAGTCAATGCGTTGTGAATGCTCGGGGCTCACTAATCTGGTGCCCTGTTTCATTGCACCAATCTAAGCCAAACTCTGCTATCCGAGGTGGCAGCTGTGACGGTCATGTGGAGCGACAGTTAAGCACGTCAGATACAAGCTTTTGTGATGGCTGATTAATACTGTATGATTAGGAATAAATAGTAAGTAAGTTTCATGAATGATGCCCAATTAGTGAAGCAAATCTCATTCTATCAGTGTGGTGCTTTGTTGGTACTGAAGTATTCAATCAGATATATTAGTCATGGTAATGAAACCGAGGAAAGAATTAGCTATTGCGTAATTCACACCCATCTCTTCTCCTCCTTTTTTTTCTACATTTCATCCTGGCATCTGGGATTCCTCTCATGGTGGCCACTTTAGTTGCTTCAGTTCCGATCAGTTCGAAAGGTCAATTTGAAGTAATAAGGGNCGTGACATCAAACCTACCAAACAGAGTTCTGACGCCCACAGAATTACGATCACTCCAGAGGGGTCTCAATTTCAACCTCCACAGAAAACCCTTGATGGTACAAGAAGTTATTCCCGCTCTAGAACAGGCCTTATCCAAAATTCCAGAAAACAGTGTCAACCAAGCACGTTTGAGAATATGTAATATTCTCAAGAACCAATAACCGATTGCTCCGAACGTAACATCCGAAGAGAGAAAAAGCACTAACAACCTTAAAACGAGATTCTTCAATTCACATCAGAAAAGCTGACAAGGGGAACGTCATGGTCATCCTAGATAAAACAGATTATGAAGCAAAAGTTTTGGAACACCTTTAAAATGGACCATATGAAAGAATTGAGGACAAAAAGGTTAATAACACTCTCAACAAAACAAAAGCTCAAATCAATGATGCATTTGAGTTCGCTCGTATTTTGCAAAACATTGGACTTGAAAGTGACAAGGTTACCATCAGTTTGATGTGGTTTCTCTGTACAAAAGTGTTCCCATAAAAGAGAGTTTAGATTTTCTACATTCTTTGCTGATTTCTGATATCACACTAGAAGGACGAACTTCTTTAACCCCATCAGAAATTATTACTGGTGTAGAAATTTGTCTACTGTCAACTTTATTTACTATCAAACACGATTTGTACAAACAAACCAATGGTGTTGCCATGGGATCTCCCATCTCTCCCATTGTAGTCAACCTCTTTTTACATTCAATAGAATCAAATGCACTCTCCAGTTTTCATATGCCACCACGTTTGTACGTAAGATACCTAGACGATACTTTTGTCATCATTAAGTCACAACAGACACATGTGTTTCTTGATTGTCTCAACAAACAGTGAAGCTCCATCAATTTCACAATGGAGTCAGAGGATATGAACAGATTCAATAATTTTCTAGACTATCACCTTAGGGTGAACGACTCACGCAAATTCACCATCAGCGTTCACAGAAAATCGACACATTCGGATAAACTTTCACATTTCGAATCAGCTCATCCGCAATGTTTAAAACGGACTCTTATCGCCTCTCTGGCTGACAGAGTCAAAGAGCTCTGTAATGAAGACAATAATCGCCAAATGGAAATGAAACGCCTCAAAAAAGTACTAGAAGACAATTATTATCCATCACTCCTGGTAAGATCTCAGTTGGAGGGCAATAAACCAATGATACAACTCAATGACAGAAAAGACCGTGCAGCCTCCATTGGCATTCCATATAGATCAGGCACTTCAGAAGCAATCAGAAAGATTCTCGGCGATTTCAACATACAAACATTCTTTCGGTATGACCACACTCTGAAACGCCATCTCGTGAAAGCCATAGATCCGGTCGAATTGCAAGATCAAAACAACTGCATTTACAAAATCAGTTCTAAAGAATGCCCCGCAGAATACATTGGGCAATCCAGCAGACAACTCAAGACAAAAA